TCAGCCGAAGTCAGTGGTTGAAAGATGAAAAAGGTGTGCAGGCCGTTCAGCACGAAGCACAAGGCCTTCGGCAAAATCAGACCTGGGATGATGCTTCGGTGGACACCATACAGAACTGGAAAGTATGGTCCAGAAACACAGGCATAAGGATTCACATTGCAGATTTGCTGACGCTGTGCGGCATAAAGCATTTTGAATTGGAGCCTTCTCAGTGGAAATACAAGGGCAGAATAGTATATAGGGGAGACAGAATTCGGGACACAGATGGCAACGTGGTCTTGTTCCAGGAGACCGCCACAAGTCCCACAGCCATCATTGCCTTGCAGATCACTCTATGGTTTGGGATGCTCCCAGATCACATCGTGACTTGTAGTGACGCTGTCCAAGCATTCTTGCAAAGCTGGTTGGACGAGGATGAGTACACACTTGTCCTCATGCCAAACGAACTCTGGTTGCCAAGTTGGAAAGCCAAGTTCGGAGAAGCGGCCAGGCTAGCAGTACGTCTGCAGAAGAGCTTGTACGGTCACCCAATGGCCGGAAAGTGGTGGCAGAATCATCTTTCTTCGTGTTTGGTCTCGTTAGGTGGAATTGAATTGCAGGAACACCCCAGCAATTTCATTTTTCGATGGAACCCAAGTGAACATGGAGGAGAGGTGAATCAAGAATTCGTCCTTTTACTTAACGTGTATGTGGATGACCTGACCCTTAGCGGTCATCGTTCGTGCCATTCATCATTTTGGAAAGTCTTAACTGCCAAGGTGAAACTAGAGCCGTTCCAAGAGGTTGATGTTTCAGGTCACTTAATTTTGGGTCGCAAACACTTCATCGAGAGGAGTCCATCGCATACTAAGGTCACATTTGACATGCGTACTTATGTGGATCAGGTGGTTGGGACATACTGCGAACTGACAGGGATCAGTCAACAGTCTCTCAAGAAGGTCACGACACCAAGCTTCCCTGAAAGCTCTATGACCGATCAGGAGCTGTCACAGACGGGTGAACTTAGTGGCTTGGCATCAAAAGTTCTCATGCGAGCGCTTTGGCTCTCACGGCTGGCAAGACCTGACATCAGCTTCATCGTTGGTCGTCTTACCACTATGGTGACCAGATGGTCGAGATTCGAGGACAGGCAATTGCACAGGTGCATTTGCTACCTTCATCACAGTCGGGACAAAGTCCTAGTCGGACATCTCGATCATGAGCATGAACATGAAATGTCAATAGAGGTTTACACAGATAGCGATTTTGCTGCTTGCCCTCATACCGCCAAGAGCACATCTGGCATTCTGATCGCCCTCAAAACAGGCCAATCGATGTATCCACTGCATTGGTGCAGCCGAAAACAGTCCAGCGTTGCAAGGAGCACGCCGGAAGCAGAACTCATAGCGATGTCGACGGCGATGTTCACCGAGGTGTTCAACGTTCAAACCATGTTGGAACACCTTATGCAGCGACAGGTGCCTGTAAACTATAGGCAGGACAACCAGGCTGTGGTGCAAATTTTGGGGACCGGATATTCCGCGAAATTGCGCCATGCACCACGGGTGCATCGAGTTAATGTGAGCTCTGTTCACGAGGTCCTCACTTCCGAACATGCCCATGCAGTTTGGTACACACAGACCACGGAGCAAATTGCAAATGGCCTAACGAAGGTGATCACTCCTGCCGAGTGGCCGGCCATGTTGAAGCAGCTGAGCATTTTCGACTTTTCTGTAAACTCTGAAACGTGAACTGGTATGTTTTCTTGGAATTGGCCATGCTCCGGCGTGATGCTTTGGTTCCGGGAATCTGACACATTGCATGTACAGAACGAGGGGGGAGTTGATGGAAAGCATGTATAGAGCATAGCATTCCTTGACGTCTTCTCATGCATCATGTGTCACTCATCATTTTGCCTACGCGACTTTGTATTTGGCTCAAGCACTGCGGAAAAAGGCGTTTGCGCGTGGTGCTTGCCGTTGCTACTAAACTACCAACTTTGGCTGTGGTTGGTGAGTTTAACTAAAACTGATTATTATTGTTTCACGTTTATAATTGACTCGCAAAATTGGTTATCAATTTTGGTGTCTGAATGTTGGCTAAAGTAAAGGTATATTGCAGAATCCTGGCAGGCCAAACAAGCTGATTACTATCGACTCATGGCTTGTTACTGCTAACTCAACATTACAGGCAAGTAAAGAAAACATGCACACACATATATCTATATATATATATACACCAGCACCTTCCAACGTCTCCTCTGGTGACTTTTGCAGGCTTAAAAGTGGCAGGTGGTGACCTGTTGGAAGGTGCTGGTATATATAAAATATGGCACTTTAAACAATATATATATATATACGCATTCCCTTGTCCAGAAGTATGCCATGGGAAAGGCAACATTTCATGATTAGATAGCCTGCGCCATGTATACAGTATACTGTACACGCATACAGATATATGTATATAATGTATAGCTGCTGCGTTACTCGGTGCACTTTACAATCACTTTACACGGACAGTGACGTGGCACTGTCCAATGCACCAAACCCGCAGTTTTTTTGCCCCTATGTCACCATATATGTATCATAATCGACACGTGCCAAAATACCAAAGTTGTCCTCAGCACCCTCTGAAAGGCAAGCGTGCCAACCGGTGTTTGCCGATGTTTGCAGGGCCCTATATAGGTGACTAAAAATGGATTGAGCACCTAATTTTTTGGCGTCCGTTTTGCCAGTGGCTTCGATGTTTCCTTGGCTGACGAAAGGCGTTCGTGAATTGACGCGGGCGCAAAAACACATTGACTGTAAACTTCAAAACAGCTGGAGAGGACGGAGAAATAGTCAGAGGCAAACGGAAGGGTAGTGCACAGAAATAGTTTTTGCAAACACCTATTCTATTAACATCGTGGAAGGCGCGGGACATTCGTAGAACCCGGGGCTATTCGTGGACGTTTCGTGGAATGGTGGGCCAGTAGGAAAACTGACACTGCAACAAAATCCCAGAAAACTTCGTAGAACATCGTAGAAACGTATTTTTGATGCACTAACTTCGTATAAGCGATTTTGGCTGACCCCCTTTCTCCACACACCCTCGTTGAGCCTTCAGATAGGAATAATGCAGGCAAAGATTGTGGCAAATTCCCCGCCCCCCCAAGAAACACTGCTTCAGGATACCACAAACCGTTGCCGTAAAGATTCCAACACAAACGCAAGAAGAAAGAGGACTTCCTGGGATTTCTTCGAAAGTCTTGGATGTTGGATCATGCGCATATTCTGTACATAGATGATGACACCATGAATGTTTGCACAAACCCATTGCCGCGCCATTATAGCTGCTTATTCAGTCCTTTAGTCCAATACAGCTGCAGCCTCAACTTCCTCATCGCCAGGGACCATCTTTTTCATGCGTTTTCCTAACTGGTAGTGCCATGTGGCACAGGCCCAGCAAAGAAGCTGCTTTCCTCGTGTCACTTGTCACCAGGCTGCTACTGGAGTTGTCCAGAAGGAAGACGCTCCCGTCAGAGTGCTCAGAATGTCCTTTGTTCTTCATTTGACAGAAAATGTTTGTTGCAGGTCGTGGCAGCAGCTCAAAGTTTCAAACCACAATCCACCCGGAAGGCAAAGGACGCGAACCATTTTTTTAACCAAGTGATACACACCATCAGTGCAGGTTGCTCCCAGCACAAAGCCTGAGCCTCCCAAGATGGGCTTGCTTGGTTGGCTGGTGATGAGCTGAGACGAGCCGGAGCTGCTTGGAAACAAGGCAAGCAGAAAGCAGCTGAACCGGATAAGCGGCGCAAGGTCCCATTTGGTGGGCTTTTTCGGCGTGATGATGATGAGGCACCGCTTGGCGTACTGCAAGCCTGTCCTGTTCTTGTCGGTTTTGATTTTGCTTGGCCGTGAACACACGACAACAAAACACACCAGAGGACACACAGCTCCATTTGAAGGTCTCTAATTTTGGTCCAGCAGCCATCACGGTCGCAGGTTTAGGCACTTGGTGAGTGCACGTGTTTTTGGATTGGCCTTGGTTCGTGAGGTCTTCAATGGGCATTTGCTTGACCATCTTAGAGGCTTAGAGGTTTCAAATAACGACATTAAAAGCTTCCATTGACAAGTGAAGGGAAACTCAAGTAAGACGCCTTCGCAAAACGCAATCACAGGCGCGAAAGTGGCACACAAGATTTTGCGGAAAAGCTCGCGAAAGTTTTTTTGGTGCTTTAGTTTTTTTCGTGAAACACATTTTTGTAAGGGCATACCGTGTCTTTGACATCGCTGGACAGCGGACTCGCCCTAGCTAAGAAACATATGTCACTTGCAGAAGCTGCTAGGAGGACTGCCTGGAAGACTGTGAGGAGGCGATTCACTGGTCCATTACACACCTAGGCCTAGGACTGTAGCACCCTTGCTCCTAGTAGCAATGCCAGGAGCCCCTAGTAGCTTCTTGTTCCTTGGTCAATTTCAAAATCCAAACTTCAACTTCGTTGGCAATTTGTGTGCCATTTACTGATATTTACTGTACAGTATTTCATGCGCTTTTGTTGTCCGACTAGTATCGACTAGTGCTACGTGCGTGCACCAACCCGATGCAGAGCACTGCAAAGGAGAGCATTGTGGAGGACGATGAAACAGCGGCCGCCTCATGGATCACATTGCCCTTGGGTTCTGGTGTCGAACAAAACGTTTGGAAGTAGAAGTTGCTGAGGACGAGTTCCCAGCAAGTCCTCCGGTGGGCAGCTGAGATCAAACATGGTTCTTTTCTGGCTTGTGTTCATCAAATGTGGTGTGATCAGAGTCTATCAGGAGCTGAGGCTATTTGCAAGCTTTCACACAGGTAAGTGCACCAAAATGCCATGCAACTAACGACATATTGCACCAAGAGTGAGAGAAACATTATGAATTCAAATTCTGCTCAGTCACTTTCACAAGATACGCACATCTATAATATAGACAGAGAGAAACATCCCACAGCGTGATGCAGCGCATGTAGATGGAGCAGACAGATGCGCCCTGCTGTCCACAATGGCAGCGGCCCTGCGGGCCGCTGCTGACAAAGGCGACATCGCTGAGGTAAGCAGGCTCTTAGAGGCTCCGGAAAGCGATGGGAGACTTGCTCCTTGATGATCCTCTTTGCCTTGAGAACTCTGTTTTTCCCACCTAATTGATTATATGTTATTTGCATTCTTTCATGTTCTGCCGTACTCGTATTGGTACTGGTACTGAACGTAGACAAGATCCGGTGCTTGATCAGATTGTTGGTGCACGCCACTTGCTGGTCGGAACTGTAATGGCAATGCCCACGGATCAGTGTTTGTGAGTGTGCTAGGTGCAGGATGCTGCAACCCTTCGCAAGATCATCAATTCTCAGGCATCAAATACATCTCAATTCGTTGCAAATTGACTGGTCACTGGACCCAGTTGAGCGTTCCACTTTTGCTTTGAGTTGTTGATACGGGACAGAGTTCCAAAGTTTTTCAGCTGCTGTATGATTGCGCTTACAGTAGAGCTTATGGTTTCACACTGCAGGACTCCGAGACAGACTTGGCTCCCTTGACCTTGGCTGCAGCGGGTGGGCACCAGAATTGTGTGGCCGCGCTGTTGGCTGCCCGTGCCTTTGGGGCCTGAGAAAGCTTTCGTCCTTTGTTTACGGACACTTAACGGCCCCGTTGGGTACTTGTGGGTACTGGTACTTTGACGTTGACTATGTTTGTTTTCCATTGTTTTCCAATTGTTCGATGCACGTTAAACTCATGAAACTTAAACCCTTTTGAAGAATGTTGGTCATTTTAATATACTTTAAGTATATAACCTATTTTGATTTGTGTCCTCGAGTAATTATTGAGTTCCTTGTTCATCCTTGTTGTTTTCCTTTTTCATACCAAACGGATCCTCGAAATGTATTTCAACACTTATTGCCACACAACAACCTTTGAAATGGTATAGCTGCTCCTTCTGTAGTTATATACTGCCACCTTTCCTTGATTAGTATGTTCCTCTATCTACTCTTCAGCATTCATACATACCCCCCCAAAAAAACCATACATGCTTTTGCAGGCGCAGCTCCATGTAAGCAGGAAAAAGCCGCCCCGGGCTAACATAGCATGCGAACCTGGTTCACTTAGTGCCTATCCAGGAGTCCATGTTAGTGGATTGTGTGCTTGGCAGGTTCCATGTTAATGTAGTTTGGAGGGCGGGCATATGTGGGTGCAGATATGCACCGTACTCAGTATGAGTCACAATTACACTGGGTAAACCAAAGCAGCCAAACCAACACTTGAACATTTTGTATATATAGAATCTTTTACTAAGCTGCCACCAGAAATGATTTTTTGGCCTCGGAGAGGGATCTCCCACAAATGGCTTCCATCCTTCAAGATAAGCTACAATGAGGTAGAG